CACAACACAGCCTGGACCACTATAACACAACACAGCCTGGACCACTATAACACAACACAGCCTGGACCACTATAACACAACACAGCCTGGACCACCATAACACAGCACAACCTGGACCACTATAACACAACACAGCCTGGACCATATAACACAGCACAACCTGGACCACTATAACACAACACAACCTGGACCACTGTAACACACCACAGCCTGGACCACTATAACACAACACAAACTGGACCACTATAACACAGTACAACCTGGACCACTATAACACAGCACAACCTGGACCACTATAACACAGCACAACCTGGACCACTATAACACAGCACAACCTGGACCACTATAACACAACACAACCTGGACCACTATAACACAGCACAACCTGGACCACTATAACACAGCACAGCCTGGACCACTATAAGACAACACAACCTGGACCACTATAACACAACACAACCTGGACCACTATAACACAACATAGCCTGGACCACTATAACAAAACACAGCCTGGACCACTATAACACAACACAACCTGGACCACTATAACACAACACAACCTGGACACTATAACACAACATAGCCTGGACCACTATAACAAAACACAGCCTGGACCACTATAACACAACACAACCTGGACCACTATAACACAACACAACCTGGACCACTATAACACAACACAGCCTGGACCACTATAACAAAACACAGCCTGGACTACTATAACACAATACAGCCTGGACCACTATAACACAACACAGCCTGGACCACTATAACACAACACAGCCTGGACCACTATAACACAACACAGCCTGAACCACTATAACAACACAGCCTAGACCACTATAACACAACACAGCCTGGACCTCTATAACAACACAGCCTGGACCACTATAACACAACACAGTCTGGACCACTATAACACAACACAGCCTGGACCATTGTAACCCAACACAGCCTGGACCACTGTAACACAACACAGCCTGGACCACTGTAACACAACACAGCCTGGACCACTGTAACACAACACAGCCTGGACCACTGTAATACAACACAGCCTGGACCACTATAACAACACAGCCTGGACCACTGTAACACAACACAGCCTGGACCACTGTAATACAACACAGCCTGGACCACTATACCACAACATAGCCTGGACCATTGTAACACAACACAGCCTGGACCACTATAACACAACACAACCTGGACCACTGTAACACAACACAGCCTGGACCACAATAACACAACACAGTCTGGACCACTATAGTACAACACAACCTGGACCAAGATAACGCAACACAGCCTGAACCACTGTAAAACAACACAGCCTGGACCACTATAACACAACACAACCTGGACCACTATAACACAGCCTGGACCACTATAACACAGCCTGGACCACTATAACACAACACAACCTGGACCACTATTACACAACACAACCTGGACCACTATAACACAGCCTGGACCATTATAACACAGCCGGACCACTATAGCACAGCCTGGACCACTATAACACAACACAGCCTGGACCACTCTAACACAGGCTGGACCACTATAACACAGCCTGGACCACTATAACACAACACAACCTGGACCACTATAACACAACACAACCTAAACCACTATAACACAACACAACCTGGACCACTATAACACAACACAACCTGGACCACTGTAACACAACACAGCCTGGACCACTATAACACAACACAACCTGGACCACTATAACACAACACAACCTGGACCACTATAACACAACACAACCTGGACCACTGTAACACAACACAGTCTGGACCACTATAGTACAACACAGCCTGGACCACTATAACACAACACAACCTGGACCACATAACACAACACAGTCTGGACCACTATAGTACAACACAGCCTGGACCACTATAACACAAGACAACCTGGACCACTGTAACACAACACAACCTGGACCACTATAACACAACACAACTTGGACCACTATTACAAAACACAACCTGGACCACTTTAACACAGCCTGGACCACTATAACACAACACAGCCTGGACCACTATAACACAACACAGCCTGGACCACTACAACACAGCCTGGACCACTATAAAACAGCCTGGACCACTATAACACAACACAACCTGGACCACTATAACACAGCCTGGACCACTATAACACAGCCTGGACCACTATAACACAGCCTGGACCACTATAACACAACACAGCCTGGACCACTATAACAGCCTGGACCACTATAACACAGCCTGGATCACTATAACACAGCCTGGACCATTATAACACAGCCTGGACCACTATAACACAACACAGCCTGGACCACTATGACACAGCCTGGACCACTATAACACAGCCTGGACCACTATAACACAACACAGCCTGGACCACTATAACACAGCCTGGACCACTATAACAGCCTGGACCACTATTACACAACACAACCTGGACCACTATATTCCTCATGTTCCCTTCAGCTTCTAGAAGATATTCGACGCAAATACAAAGGATAGAAATGTGGAATAACTTGCCAGAATATTTTTTTTGAAACTGACAAAAACAATTAAAAAAAATAAGTCTCCCACTGTGGTGAGACGACCGGAAAATAAGTCTCCCACTGTGGTAAGACGACCGGAAAATAAGTCTCCCACTGTGGTAAGACGACCGGAAAATAAGTCTCCCACTGTGGTAAGACGACCGGAAAATAAGTCTCCCACTGTGGTGAGACGACCGGAAAATAAGTCTCCCACTGTGGTGAGACGACTGGAAAATAAGTCTCCCACTGTGGTAAGACGACCGGAAAATAAGTCTCCCACTGTGGTAAGACGACCGGAAAATAAGTCTCCCACTGTGGTGAGACGACCGGAAAATAAGTCTCCCACTGTGGTGAGACGACCGGAAAATAAGTTTCCCACTGTGGTAAGACGACCAGAAAATAAGTCTCCCACTGTGGTGAGACAACCGGAAAATAAGTCTCCCACTGTGGTAAGACGACCGGAAAATAAGTCTCCCACTGTGGTAAGACGACCGGAAAATAAGTCTCCCACTGTGGTAAGACGACCGGAAAATAAGTCTCCCACTGTGGTAAGACGACCGGAAAATAAGTCTCCCACTGTGGTGAGACGACCGGAAAATAAGTTTCCCACTGTGGTAAGACGACCAGAAAATAAGTCTCCCACTGTGGTGAGACGACCGGAAAATAAGTCTCCCACTGTGGTAAGACGACCGGAAAATAAGTCTCCCACTGTGGTAAGACGACCGGAAAATAAGGAGAAACAAAATCTTACCGTCATTCATTCACTGGCTTTTCAGAAATGTACTGATATCACAGCTCAGCTGTAAGTCTTAAAATTACCATTAAACTTTTGCAGCCAAATTACGTATCATGTCGTGTTCCTTTTTTTTTTTTTACCTGCAGTTTACCTGGAGAGAGTTCCGGGGGTCAACGCCCCCGCGGCCCGGTCTGTGAGCAGGCCTCTTGGTGGATCAGAGCCTGATCAACCAGGCTGTTACTGCTGGCTGCACGCAATCCAACGTACGAGCCACAGCCCGGCTGGTCAGGTACCGACTTTAGGTGCTTGTCCAGTACCTGCTTGAAGACAGCCAGGGGTATATTGGTTATCCCCCTTATGTATGCTGGGAGGCAGTTGAGCAGTCTCGGGCCCCTGACACTTATTGTATGGTCTCTTATATTGTCTTAGGTTATCTTATGTATGGGGATATATTCACTTACAGTGCTCCGTGGCAGAAGCTCTCGCTTCACACGGTGAGGGTCCGGGTTCGATTCCCGGCGAAGGGGTGGAAACAGTGGACGTGTTTCCTTACACCGGTTGTCTATGTTCACCCATCAGTAAAATGGGTACCTGGGTGTTAGTTGACTGGTGTGGGTCGCATCCTGGGACAAAACTGGCCTAATTTGCCCGAAATGCTCAGCGGCTAATGTAATTGTATGACATTGATGTCAGCGATAAGATAAGATTTCGTTCGGATTTTTAACCCCGGAGGGTTAGCCACCCAGGATAACCCAAGAAAGTCAGTGCGTCATCGAGGACTGTCTAACTTATTTCCATTGTGGTCCTTAATCTTGTCCCCCAGGATGCGACCCACACCAGTCGACTAACACCCAGGTACCTATTTGCTGCTAGGTGAACAGGACAACAGGTGTAAGGAAACGCGTCGAAATGTTTCCACCCGCCGGGAATCGAACCCGGGCCCTCCGTGTGTGAAGCGGGAGCTTTAGCCACCAGGCCGCCGTATACCTGTACCTTATACCTGTACTTGTATTAATAAAGTTATTATTATATATTATTGTATTATAAAATAATCTGGTAATGGCAGTGTTAAATATTTTGGGTACTTCTATTTGATTTATTCCTACATCGACTGAATCACAAGTCTTGCATACTGTGTGTAGTACATCAGACAGGTTATACAAGTATTTGATCTTTTAAAGGACCCCAACGTAAATAAGTCACTATGTCTGACTTTTTTGGGTTATCCTAGGTTCTCTACACATATGCTGCTATGTATGTAATCTGTATAACTGTATTTGTTTGTACCTGAATAAACTTACTTTATTGCGTTGTTATCTATGTGGAAACGTTTACAGAAACAGCTTATCTAAACGTGGAGGTGATTTACCAGAGCAAGATAAAGATACTGTCTATTGCCATATTAAGACATCAGTTTCGTTATCGTCCATTACTATATGAAAGCCGCTAAAATGCAACTAGTACACAGCTAATGGCACTAATTACATTATCTTAAAACGTCATTGTTGAGGCGTCTACTTCCAGGTGAATATGACTCAAGGTCGCTGACATGACTGCCAGTCAGGGATTATAAATGATTTATACTTACATTAAGAACATACTGTTGAGATATCAATAGCATTACTAGTACTTATAGGTCAATATACATCACTGTGTATATGGATAATAGAGGTTGGTGAACTCCTGAAGTGAGGTTTGTTAATATATATGGTTGTGATTGTCGTGCAGTGAGTTTGGTGAGTCAGGTGGTGAGGTAGACATGGGTGCTGAGGCTCACTAGGACTTCCTCAGTCTTCCCTCACTCAGTCCTCCAACAGCTCCTGTGACTGACGGAGCCTCGCAGGGAGTACTCGTCAGTATGTGGTGCTGTGTCAAGTTATTGTTGGTGGTGTGTGTGGTGGTGGACTTAAGCGTGGCTCAGCATGGGGTGGCCCTACCTGGGCTGCATCAGGTGAACACTGGGGTGCCACTCCAACCCGTTGGTGCCAGGGCTCCACACCAGGGTAATGGGCACCAGGCACCCAACTTCAATCCCGTGTTTCATGGAGATACAGAGACTGTAGTTGTACCCCTGAGGGAGGGGGCAGGTGTCCCCTTGCCAGTCCTAGGTCCCGGTGGGGGCACTGCCCCACCTTCTCCAGGGGTGCCGCCATATGAGACTGTAAGAACAGGAGGTGTTCCCCTCCATCAGCCAACTGGTCTACCTGGTGGTGGTCTTGGTGGTATTAGGCCTGTGAGAGACCCAGAGCTGGATGAGAATGTGCAGCGTGCTGTCAGACTGTCAGCGGTGCAGAGCCACTTGCAGCTCAAGACGGAAGCTGATTCTGCTGTAAAGATCATAGAAATTGTCAGTGCTCACAAACAGGTATGTTCTTCATTCTGGCAAGTTCTGGACTAAGCAAAGTTAACCTATCTTGACCTAACAAGCTCTTATATCCTGACCTAGGATAAGCAAAGTCGTCCTGTCCTCATCTGTGGTAGGCAAATTTGTCCTGTCCTGACCTAATATAACCATAGCTCACTTGAATATCAATGGTATACAATACCAACCTCATTTACCTTTCCAATCTTCTCTGTTGTATTGATAAAACCACTGGTTGACAAAACATCTTACATAGTAAAGATACCCAGATGTTGCACGTGTCTAATTTATCATTAAAGCTCTCATTATCTTGACCTAATATAAGCAAAGCTCTTTTATCAAACAAACAAATTTTATTTCTTTGCAAAATTACATTGAGAATATTAAATTACAATAAAGAGTTGCAGTGCAAAGAGCCACTGTCATGCCTTGGCATTACGGGCAGACTTAATTTAATGACTTACAGAGTACTTAATACTAAATAAATTGGTCATGGTTTAAGTTGTACATCTGTTTTTCTTTATATCCTGACCTAAACAGTTCGGCATAATATAAAATACTTCCTTTTGATTAATTGCCCCAGTTTATTAATAATTTGTGAAACCTAAAAACATAAATTATATACAGAATCATAATTCAGTATGCAAATTATGAATATACAGTACAGTACTGTATCTACATGTATTAATAATAGTGTAACTTATTGTAATCTTGAATGTTTAACATAAGTCATGCCAGGAACTGCATATACAATACAAGGAACTTTGCAAATTTTATTACTATATTGTTCAGCATTTGTAAATATTGATTACTTCATTTATATAACTTGTATGTACAGTACCAATGTGTTTCTGATGTAAAAAATGTGTTCATTAGTACATGAGAGGAATAAGTGGACTATGCTATACTATGCAACATTGTCTTTCTTGCTTCATGTAGATGAGTTCTTCATTCACAGAATGAGATGTTGGGTAAACTTGGTCAGAATAGAAAGTGCATAGCTTGTTGAGGTATACACTAGCAAAGAGTGAGGTTATCTCCATATTGTCCCCATTCATATACTATACTGACATAGACATATTTGTCCTTAAACTTGGGTTTAGTGCTCTCCCTTGATTATAATAATAATAATAATAATGTGCTTACACTGGCATACTTAGTAGCTTTCACCACATTACACTGCAGTGATGATGATAAAAGATTTGTCAATTTTTTATGAGAAAAGACAGCAGAAAGTGAATGCAACAATTTATTAGTACAGTACTATAATGGCATCTAGGGAAAAACTGTGAAACCATGGTGGAGGTGATGTACAAAATGTGCAATTGACAAAAAACAACACTGCATAAGCAAAACTGAGAATAGAGCAGGTCACAGAAAAAAAAATGGATGGTACAGTATAATGGAAGGTTGAATTAGGAAGAATAGATGTAAAAGGATGTGGATATAGACTTGCAAGAAATGGCTGCACCAATATTACCATATGGATGTAAAGCATTGGTGTGACACGAGTGTGAAGAGGTAGAACAGCAGTGATGGAGCTATCTTGAAGCTGTATAGAATACTGAATGCTAGTGTTATGAAAAAATGTGGAGTGAAAAAGTCAGTAATTTGTAAGATTAAATATAGAATTACCTGATTTTTGTATTGCAAAGAGCAACCAGGCAATAAAGCAGTAGATAATTTCTAGGTTTGTGGAACCTCCCTGTACTTATGGTTACTGTCTACATTCTGTATATACACAGGATCTTCAGTTTGAAAAGGCACAATAGTTAAATAATATCATTATTTACTACAGGTACATGCACATGGTATACAGGCCTAGCTGACATCAATGACATACTATTATGTACAGTGGACCCCCGGTTAACGATTTTAATCCGTGCAAGAGGGGTAATTGTTATGCGAAATAATCGTTATGTGAATGAATTTTCCCCATAAGAAATAATGGAAATAAAATTAATCCGTGCAAGACACCCAAAAGTATGAAAAAAAAAATTTTTTACCACATGAAATGTTAATTTTAATACACACAAACTGAAAAAGGCATGCACACTTACATGACACTTACTTTTATTGAAGATCTGGTGATGATTGATGGGATGGGAGGAGGGGAGAGGCATTATCTTCTTACTGTTTAGAAGGGGAATCCACTTCCATTAGGACTTGAGGTAGCAAGTCCTTTTCCGGGGTTACTTCCCTTCTTCTTTAATGCCACTAGGACCAGCTTGAGAGTCACTGGACCTCTGTCGCACAACAAATCTGTCCATAGAGCTCTGTACTCCCGTTCCTTTACGATTTGTCTAAAATGGGCCACAACATTGTCATTGAAATAGTCACCAGCACGGCTTGCAACAGCTGTGTCAGGGTGATTTTCATCCATAAAGGTTTGCAGTTCAACCCACTGTGCACACATTTCCTTAATCTTTTGAAGTAGGCACAATGGATTCCACAATGGCATAGGCTTCTCAGGGTTAGCCCCAAACCCTTCAAAATCTTTCTTAATTTCCATACTAATTCTCACCCTTTTTACCACAGGGTTGGCACTAGAAGCTTTCTTGGGGCCCATGGTCACTTATTTTCCAGAAACACCACCGAAAACACTGTAATAATACGAAATATTCCGAGTGTATGCTTGGATGTTAGCGCGGAGGCTGCCTGGTAAACAATGGCACGGGCGGCACATGTGAGGCTGGGTGAGGGCGCACATTGGACGCGTCTCGGACGAAAATCGGTGAGCGGGTTTTTAATCGGTATGCGCGGCAAAAATTTTGCGATTAAAGTAAGCGGTATGCGAAATAATCGCTATGTGATGCCATCGTTATGCGGGGGTCCACTGTATAGAAAGCCCCTTGTTACGTAGAGCATCTCGGGCAAATTAGGTCAGTTTTGTCCCAGGATGTGACCTAAAGCAGTTGACTAACACCCAGGTACCCATTTTACTGATGGGTGAGCATAGACAACCTGTGTAAGGAAACACGTCCAATGTTTCCACCCCTTTGCCGGGAATTGAACCCAGACCCTCACTGCGTGAAGCGAGAGCTTTTGCCACAAGGCCACGGGGCACCATAGTTATTTTAATATAATAACATATAATTGTATTACACTACCTAATGATAGCACAGTAAATCTGTGGCACACCTGCATTACCCATTTATAACCTTGCATCCAATTAATGTGGAAAAAAAATTGCTAAAGTAATTTTACCTTCAATTACATTGCTGGTAATATCTGAGATATGGAAAGATTTAATTTTCCATCAAGTGCTCAAAAAAATATATTGTAATTTTATATTACTGTATTACACAAGACAAATTAGGATGAGGCATTTACATTATACTGTATATCATTATTTAAACAAATGTACAGTTCTTAGGTTACCAGGTTACACAGGAGGAAGATAGTGAGTGAGTGTATTGCGATAGCAAGACGTAAGGCCTCCCTTTTACCTCTGATGTCCCACTGAGATTATTTAAATTGAAGACTGGGCACAAACACCATACCTATGTTTCATGAAGAATGTATGAAAAAACTGAAACTAGAATTCCAGAGCCTACCATGCATATTATAGTCCTCCCATATTATCTCATTATAGAAGTGACTGCATGATTGTTCATGGGTCACAAAATATTGACTTGCAGGCTTGTAGTTGATTCACCCTGCCCATAGTTTCTAATTGCCAATCTGTAGCAAAAGAGGTAGAGCTTGAAATAATTTCTTTTTCTGTCCAGTATCTATTTGGAACCACCACTTCCTCATTTTATAATTGTGGTCGCTTGTTCTTCCTGTTGATGGTATCTAAAAATCTTATTTGTTATTTTATATTCTTTTATAATCTTGTAGGTGTTTCTTGAGTCCCTTTTTGTCCTAAAAGTCAATGAGGGCATATCAAATGATTTCAGCCTCATTTTTTGTAATTCATATTTTGTTCATCCTTAGACTTTTACTTTTACTAGCGTATCTACAGTTTTTAGGTGCAAACATCATATCCTGCTGCACATTCTAGTTTTGGTCAAACCTATGTTGTGAATAAATTTTTGTGCATAATTTCTCCATCTATTTATTTAAACACTATTTTAGTTTGCCAGTTTACTACAGTATACGAGTTTCTTGTTTAATGTAAACTAAACCTTTACAAAAATTCAATGTATGTCAAAGGCCCTAAAATCTGGAACACCCTACCTGAAAATTCCAAAACTGCAGACACATTCATCACCTTCAAAACTACCATCAGAAAACATCTTATCTCCCTGATACACCCTGTCAACTAATAATACAAATACCACCTGGTGGTTCACACTTACACTCACTCATCCATTTGACCATAAACAGAAATATCAATCTCAATCTCAAAATAATGAATCTTAACTAGTCATAAGTTGGCCTGTGATACTCCAATACTGAAACTATGTATAGTGCCAAAACAAAAGCATTCACATTGCTAAACTCACAACTAGTATTTAGTCGCTTAGCCATAATACCAACTTGCCTCATAATTTTGTAATATTTTAAACTTAAGATTTAATATAAGTCTGCCCGAAATGCCTAGCCATGCTAGGTGTTCTAGTGGTACACTCTGTAATTATTTTACTACATGTAAACCACACAACCAAATTCTGTAAACTCAGCATTGTAATCCTTATAGAGAATAAACTTTGAATTTGAATTTGAATTGGCTTAGTCATTACTTTTTCATGGCTTGCCAGCACCTTCCTTTAAATATTTTTTACTGTGGCCATAAGTCTATCGTAAGTTCTATTTTCGGAATACATAGTTTTATACCATTTTCATATGTACATAATTTTTAGAACCTATCATATAGAGTACAGTATCTTGTTCCTATGTTTCTTGTACTATAATGTTTTAAATTAAAAAAAGATCCAAAATACTGTATAGTCAACTCTGTAATTCATGGGGACAGGGTCTTGGAGGTGCTGCAAATCATGAAGTTGTGAATAGAAATTTTTGCATGTATGAGTTAGTATTTAAATGTTTTGGGCTTT